AGGTAAAGTGGACATTCGTGCGCGCAAGACGAAATCCTTCCAAAACCTTAGGTTTCGTAAGCGATTTTAACATAAAAACATCAAAAACCCAATGGTTTTCTCAGAAAAAATTGTCAAAATGTCCTTCCGCGCGCTCTTGCGGATTCCTAGGAAACCCACCAGATTTTAAACATTTCTGTTAAAAGGGCCTTTGCGAGGAACCTTTTCAGGTGCTTCGACCTTCTGCAACAACGGTTGCGAGCCTACGAGGGCCACCATCCCTTGCAAAAAATGACACGAAGTGCACATGCGCGCGGCCGCCGCGCGCGCGTGCCGAAATCCTGCCAAACATAATGTGATTTCAATAATTTCAAGATGCGATGTTCCGAAAACATATGCAAACGCAAGACTTTCTCATCCGAAAAATATCAAAATCCACCCGCGGGCTCTTCATGAATCTTTAAAACCCAAGATGGCCCCAAGAGGCGCTCAAGATGGCCCCAAGAGGCGCCCATGAGGCCGCAAGAGGCGCCCAAGATGGTCCCAAGAGGCCCCAAGAGGACTCCAAGAGGCCCCCAAGAGGTTCCAAAGAGGCTCCAAGTTGGCTCCAAGAGGCCCCCAAGATGGCCCCAGGAGGCGTCCAAGCGGCTCCAAGAGTCCTCCGGGAGGATCCAATAAGCCCCCAAGAGGCCCCAACATGCTTTCAAGAAGCCCCCCAAAGCCTCTCAAGAGGACCCCATGCGGCGCCAGGAGGCTTCCCCCCTTCCCCAAGAGGACCCCCAGCGGCCCCAGGAGGCTTCCCCCCTTCCTCTCACGCACATATCCGTAGCCATCTCGGATCAAGGTATCGCCTGTGTTCTTGGATCATGGCTTTGACGGCGAAAGACCTTCACGAGCAGTATGGCCCTGAGCTGTCGCGGCCTCCCTTGGCCGACTGCGAGAGTGCGTATTATTTGCATCAGGCGCTCCGGGCAAAGGGTATCAATGCTAGTCACCAGGCGTGCAAGACTTGGTGGGCCAAGTATCGGGTTGTGACTGGCACGGTCAGTATTTCTAGCGCCAAGGAGCTGGAGGAGCAGCACGGCTCTGCCATCCGCCACCTGGGCATTGAGTATAATACCGCTTTCAAATTATGCCGGGCGCTCCGACAGTTGGATCCACCACTGTATGTGCCAGATAGGGTCGCAACGGCGTGGCTACTGCAGTATTCATCCAAAGACACGCTTGTCCAAGTGCAGAACGCTGGCCACTTGGAGACCTGGTATGGAGAACGTATTCGCAAAGACATGCCCGAGGGGACCACTGACGGGGCCGTCTTGAAGCAGTGGCTCCTGGGACATTTATCTGTATCTGCTAACGCCAGGGTATGCCAGAAGTGGCTCAGCACGGAGTGGGGCGCCAAGGGGGCATTGAACACTGCCCAAGCTGTGGAGGAATGTATGGGCGAGCGTCTTCGACTCAATCAGTATCGTCTGCGATGGCGCGCCCGCTCCGCGCCATCGCAGACGACGATGCGTCGCGCCTTTAGTATGCTTCTGGATGCGAAGACCATTCGGTTGAGTATACCCCTACGTGTGACTGGACCTGTTTGCGAAAGCAGGAGAAAGTATGGCACACCTTTGTGTCCAGAGCCGCGCCGTCTGCGTTCTTCCTTTCTCGCTTCTCTCCTTTCCTCCTTGTCCTGCTCCTCCTCCCCCTCTTCCGCCTTGGAGCCGTATTGGAACTGTCGATGGCCATCTCCCTTTCTCCCTCGCATGTCTGCTTGTACATACGTATAATTTCAGAACTTACCGTGCATGCGATCGTTTACAACATGGTGGACCGTGCGTATGTCACGAACCTTGTATACATGTGTTTCTCTCCCTCCGTCTGGCTGTGCACGCGCGCGTTGGGCACTGAGAGTTAGGATCATAGCGCCATGAGTCTATGAGCAATGCATGCGTCATCCTTGGGACTGTATAACATCAGTGTAACACATGTACTTCTGTAATCGCATCCCCACGAATTTGCCCCAAAAATGTGACCAACTATCTTGGCACTGCGTACCATCTCACGTGTACCGTGTACCACATCATATGTAACAGATGTGATCAACCTCTGTGGGTGTGTACCCCACGCCAGTGTAGTAGCCAGGGTCGTCCGCACGCCACGAAGTGAAGTGTCCCAACGTCATAGGGCGGGAAGCTGGGTGTGGGTGGTCTCGAAGAGTCGTTTGGATATTTGGTAGAGCTTGAACGGCCCCCCCACGAAGTGGGGGTATTGGCTGGTGTCGCAAGAAAACCCTGGCACTGGGGAGAACACTGAGCGTTCGGGTAAAATGATTGTTGTTGTTGTTGTTGTTGTTGTTGTTGTTGTTGTTGTTGTTGTTGTTGTTGAACATTATTACTTCTAAAGAATAATTATTGTTGGGGCCCCTGGTGCACGACCCCCCCGCCGCGCCTAGGCCGCAGCCTCATTTTCATCATTTTCGTGAGGAAGTCTCAGGCAAAACGGGGGAGTCCGGATCCGGTTGTGTTGTTACGATCGGTTTTCCCTTGCAAAAAATAAGCTAAAGTGGACATTTCTTGTTCTAACATAACCAAACTTCAAGAATCCCTTGCAAAAAATAAGGTAAAGTTGACATTCGCGCGCGCAAGACGAAATCCTTCCAAAACCTTAGTTTTCGTAGCGATTTTAACATAAAAACATCAAAAAACCAATGGTTTTTCAAAAAAAAAATGTCAAAATTTCATCCCGCGCGCTCTTGCGGATTCGTAGGAAACCCAACACTTTTTAATCATTTCTGTCAAACGGGCTTTTGCGAGCAACTTTTTCGAACTTCTGCAACAACGGTTGCGCACCTGCCAGGGCCATCATCCCTGTCAAATAATACCATGCGGGACACATTCGTTTTTTCTTCGCGCGCGCACGCCGTCGTCGTCGGCCGCGGGGCCCTGAATAGTAGCCACGGTCGTCCGCATGCCACGAAGTGAAGTGTCCGAACGTCATAGGGCGGGAAGCTGGGTGTGGGTGGTGGCGAAGAGTCGTTTGGAAATTTGGTAGAGCTTGAACCGGCCCCCCCACAAAGTGGGGGTATTGCCCGCCTCCTATGAAAACCCTGGCACTGGTGAGAACGGTGTATCCCCACGTGCTAGCAATTGTTGTTGTTGTTGTTGTTGTTGTTGTTGTTGTTGTTGTTGTTGTTGTTGTTGTTGTTGTTGTTGTTTGCTGTTGTCGTCGTCCCACCCGCGACTCGCCCCGCGCCCCGCCCGCGACCCGCCCCGCACCCCGCCCGCGACCCACCCGCGACCCACCCCGCGACCCACCCGCGACCCGCCCGCGACCCCCCCGCGACCCACCCACCCCGCGACCGCCCGCGACCCACCCCGAGACCCCCCTGGCGACCCACCCGTGACCCCCCCGCGACCCACCCGCGACCCACCCGCGACCCACTGCGACCCACCCGCGACCCACCCGCGACCCACCCCGCGACCCACCAAAAATGTTCGGCGCCTGCGGCTGGCTTCTTTTGCATTCGTTCCAGGTGGAGGACCTGCGACCCACCCGCGACCAAAACCGCGCCCGCGACCCACCCGCGACCCACCTGCGACCCACCCGCGACCCACCCGCGACCCACCCCGCGACCCACAAAAAATATATGGCGCCTGCGGCGGGCTGTTTTTGCATTCGTTTCAGGTGGAGGACCTGCGACCCACCCGCAACCCAAACCGCGTTCAATGTACACATTTAAAATTGTCGGTGCCTACGGTGGGCTGTTTTTGAATTCCTCCCAGGTGGATGTGGAGAGCCCGCGACCCACCTGCGACCCAAACTACGTTCATTCAGCAAACCAAAACTTCGGCGCCTGCGGCGGGCTGTTTTTGCATTCTTTCCGGTTGGCCCACCAGCGATCCCCCCCCGCGTTGAACTTGTCAGAGCACGCAAATCGGCGCCTGCGGCGGGCTTGCTCGCATTGGTTTGGGGAAGCGCCCTTGTGCCACTCCCCCGATCCAGCCCACGTTGACTCTCACATCGGCGCCTGCAGCGGGGCTGTGTCTCAACACGTTCATTGACAATCCACTTGCCTGCTGCCGCGGAGGAGAAGAAGAGAAGCAGGGCGAGGAGCAAGAGGATGAAGACGACGACGACGACGACGACGACGAGTACGAGGACGAAGAGGAGGCCGACGACGAGGGCGAGGAGGAAAAGGGGGGGGTGGACGGAGGGGGACGACGAGAAAGGAGGGAGGAGGAGGAGGACGACGAAGGAAACGACGAAGGGGGAGGATCAGGATGGGGGAAGAAGGAGGAAGAGGAGGGGGAGGAGAAGGAGGAGGAGGACGAGGAGGAGGAGGAGGAGGAGGAGGAGGAGGAGGAGGAGGAGGGGAGGAGGAGAGGAGGAGGAGGAGGAGGAGGAGAGGAGGAAAAAGAGGGAACAGGAGGAGGAGTGGAGGAGGAGGGAGGACGACGACGACGACGATGAGGACGAGGACGCGGACGAGGAAGAGGAGTAGGAGGAACAGGATTCGGATGGATGAGGATGAGGGAGGGAGGAGGAGGAGGAGGGAGGAGGAGGAGGAGGAGGAGGAGGAGGAGGAGGAGGAGGAGGAGGAGGAGGAGGAGGAGGAGGAGGAGGAGGAGGAGGAGGGGGAGGAGGAGGAGGAGGAGGAGGGCGCCATCGACAGGAAAGGTGAGGGCCACGAGGTCCGCCGGCTCGACGCCCGCGTCGCCCGCGCCCGCCCCTTCACTCTTATCCGCAATTGCGGGTTGCTACGTTATCGTTTTTGTTTGTTTGTTTGTTCCTCTCCTTGTCGCTCTCTCTCTCTCTCTCTTCCAGTCCTCTATTCCTGCGTCCTCTTCTCCGTCTTTCCCATCCTCCTCTCCGTTTCCATTCCCTTCCCTTCCCTTCCTCCCTGCTTCCCCCATGCTTCCCTTCTCCCTCCCTCGTCACCCCTCTGCGCTCCTCCCTCGTCACCTCCCCACCCCCTCCCTTGATATCCCTCCCTTTCCCTTTTCCGACTCCTCCCATCTTCAGCCAGCCAG